AGGCCTCTGCATTTCTTGAGAGTGAGGTGTGATGGTGAAAACAGCTTTCATACTTATTTTGACCTGGCCTGTGCTGTTTCCGGGGTTTGTTTGTGTGTGGTAGGGGGAGTTTTGAGTGATGGCTCTACCTGTAGTTTTACACATGGTAGGAACAATTTAAACAGAATAGAAGAGTTCTCCTTTTATTTCCTGCTTATTGGGGCAGCTTTGAGGTTAAAAGTGGCATCTTACAATTTAATGGTAGCATAAGGATGATCTTTAGTATAACAGCTACTAGTATAGTAAGCATGTGGCCATGTTTCTTTGAGATGTAGATGCAGTTTAAAAGCTAGCAGTATGATTCTGTTCCCATGGTTGTTCAGAATGTTTGCAAGGCAGTGCATATCAATACTGGGTTTTTGATTTGCTAGGTAAATCACTTCAGAAAACGTAGCAGTTTTGCAAGATCACACTGAGAAATTTAAGTAATTTCTATTTATGTAGACTCGGCTTTTAAAAGGAAATACTTTGTCCCATCTCCTTTTGGAGGAAAGGCATAACATCTTTACGGTCTCTGCACTATAAAGAATCAAGAGAGATGTGGTTGTTTCTGTCATGATGGGGAAGGAAGTTTGCTTTTCATTATTGTGGCCAATATAGAGATAAAACGCTCCTGAGCAACTAGATAATCATTGCCTTGATTGTATCTCTGTGGAGTTGCATTTAGCTAGCTGCTTGTAATTCATATACTTACTCACATAGTGCTAAGTTTTTACATATTGAATGATGCTAGTAGTTGCATTTCATCAGAGTGGATAGGGATAACTTTTCCTCTATAACTAATAGAGCTTGAAGTTGGACAGTAAGGGAGAGGGATGTTGGATTATAGGCAGACTAAGGTTTAAATTTAGGAAATATTCATAGAATCATGGAGTTGGAAGAGACCACGAAGGTCATCCAGTCCAACCCCTTGCCGTGCAGGAATAAACAATCAAAGCATTCCCAAAAGATGCCATCCAGCCTCCACTTGAAAACCTCCAAAGAAGGTGACTCCACCACACTCTAAGACAGTGCATTTCACTATTGAACAGCTCTTGCCATAAGAAAGTTCTTCCTAATATTTAGGTGGAATATCTTTTCCTGTATTTTGAATCCAATATTTAAATAGCATGTAACTAAATTGGATGTAATTAAATCGGATGCAATTCAGGGATGCAGTGGCTCAAGTGGTTAAGACGCTGACTCTGTTGATTGGAAGATCGGCAGGTTGGCAGTTCGAGGCCCGGATGCTGCATGATGGAGTGAGCTCCTGTCACTAGTCCCAGCTTCTGCTAATCTAGCAGTTCAAAAGCATGGAAATGCAAGTAGATAAACAGGTACCACTTTTCAGTGGAAAGGTAAACAGCATTCTGTGCAATCAATCTGGCCACATGATCACAGAGTAGTCTCTGACAACGCTGGCTCTTCAGCTTAGTAACGGAGATGAGTACCACCCCCTATGGTCAGATATGACTTGACAACCTTCTCAATGGAGAATACCTTTACCTCTAACTAAATTGTAGAATGTGTTTAGAATGTGCTGCCACATACAGTACCATGGTGATAGCCACTGGGTATAATGACTTTTAATAGATTCATAATTCATGGCCTATCCGTATTTATTAGCCATTATAGCTATATGGGACACAACTTCCAGAAGTACATAATTTGCTTTGGATATACAGGGTACTGAAGCTTTGATCTGTTGTGCAGTGCATTTCCTAAACCCTCTATTTGTAGTATTTTATTGATTTTAAGTATCATGTAAATTTGGATGCATCAGAAAGGCATAAGCTTTTGTAGACTAAATCTACTTCATCAGTAGTAGATGGCATAAGCCAGGGGTTGGCACGATTTACTGACCTGGGGCTGGTCTGCTGGTCCTGGGGTCTTTCGCCAGCCCGGGGGGGGGGAATGACAGCGCATGTGCAGTGCTCCGGAAGTACTGTGCATGTGCAAATGAGTCGCGGCCGCCATTTTGTTTTCCAAAATTATGGCCGTGGCTCATTCGCGCATGCGTAGGAGTACTGCGCATGCGCAAACGAGTTGCGGCTGCCATTTTGGAAAACAAAATGGTGGCTGCGAAGCACGTGGCGGCAGCGCAGGCGGCAGGGGGTCGTTGTCAGGGCCCGGTCCAGAGGCCTCGGGGGGCCGCAGGTTGGCGACCCCTGGCAGAAGCTTTTGTAGACTAAATCTACTTCATTAGATACACCATTGCTAGCATAAACTTTTGTAGACTAAATCTACTTCATCAGATGCACCATGACTACTAGGTTCTTCTCAATTAGTCTCAAATGTGCTACAAGATCCTGTTGTGTACTGATCTAGATTAAGGGCCTGTACAGACTGCCAGAAATAATCCATCTTGAGACCACTTTAACTGTCTTGGTTCAATACTAGGGAATCATGGAAACTGTAGTTTATTGTGGCACCAGAGCTCTCTGACAGAGAAGGTTTAGTGTCTCAGAAAAAAATACAGTGCCCATGATTCCCTAGCACTGAGCCAGGACAGTTAAAGTGGTCTCAAGATGGATTATTTCTGGCAGTCTGTATAGGGCCTAAGATGGCTTTGTCTTTGAATTCTTTGTTACATGACTTTATCTTTGAAGCCCATTGTTTGTTGATGTTGTTAACTGCTTTTGAGTTGACACTGACTTACGGCAACTGGATGAGACATCTCCAAGACCCCTTATTCTCCACTGCTCTGGTCCTGTAAATTCATACCTGCGACCTCTTTAATAGAGTCTATCTATCTAGCACAGGGGTTGGCAACCTATGGCCCCCCCGGGGGGGGGGGAATTTGGCCCCCGAGGCCTTTGGACCGGCCCCAGGCCGGTCCTGCCGCCACCGCACGTGTGTTGCGGCTGCCATTTTGTTTTCCAAAATGGCCATGACTCGTTTGCAGATGCGCCAATGAGTCGCGGCCGCCATTTTGCAAAACAAAATGCCGACTGCGACTTGATTGCACATGCACAGTACACTGGAAGTACTGTACATGCACAAGCAAGCGTGCGAGCGCATGCACAGTACTTGAGGAGTACTGCACATGCGCACACGAGTGAGCGTGCGCGGCACCATTTCCCCCACCCTCAGCCCTGGGGTCGATACCTGGGGACCAGCGGACCGGCCCCAGGAAGGAAAACTTGCCGACCTCTGATCTAGCATGCATTCTTGTCTTTTTCTGCTTCTCTCCACTTTTCCTAGCATTATTGTTTTTTCTAATGGCCCATGCCTTTTCATGATGTGGCCAAAGTATAACAGCCTTAGTTCATTCATTTTTACTTCCAGGGAGAGTTCAGGCTTGATCTGTTCCTGTACCCATTTGTTTGTCTTTTTGGCCATCCACGCTATCCTTAGCACTCTTCTCCAGCGCCACATCTCAAATGAATTGATTTTCTTCTTATCTGCATTTTTCACTGTCCAGCTCTCACATCCGTACATGGTGATGGGAAATTCTTTAGAATCTTGTCTACTTCTTTCATGATGGCTCCTCCAATTCCTATTCCTCTTCTAATTTCTTGACTGCAGTCTCCATTCTGATTGATGTTTGATCTGAAGTACAGGAACTGTTTTACTGTTTCTGTTTCCTCGTTGTCTACGTTGAATTTGTGTAGTTCTTTCATGGTACTTATTTTTGTTTTCTTTATGTTCATTAATAAGCTTGCCTTTGCATTTTCTTCTTTAAAACACTACTATTCTGTAGGATCATATAAGTACTGTGAGTTTACAAATTACGATATCAAATCATAGTTTGTAGCTGGTTTATTTTAATATCTAGAGTTGGAAGAAGCCACAATTCCCTGAATTGATCTGAAGCAGGAAAATGGTTTAGTGAAATGCAGAAGTGGAAGCTTTCATTCTCCTATATAGTAATAGCAAGTATCTTTCTATACCGCTTATCAATGCACTTAAGCACTCCCTAAGTGGTTTACAGAGAATAAGCTAATTGCCCCCAACAAGCTGGGTACTCATTTTAGCAACCTTGGAAGAATGCAAGCCTGAATTGAGCCTGAGCCCGTGGTTAGTATTGAACTCACAACCTTGTGGTTTGTGGGTGAGTGGCTGCAGTACAGGCATTTAACCACTGTGCCACCAGAGAAAAGAAATGGATGAGTGCTTGTGCCTGAGGCTCCTTGTGGTTCATTTATGATGAGATCACATAATCTATGGGTGGCAACTGCCAAGGGTTTGGGGCTGCATTGATTCCTGTGGAAATCCAGAGAGCTATACCGCCATGTTCCCCAAATAGCCAATAATGCCCCAAAGCCTTTGGGGTGTGTGTGTTATTGGCCATCTCATTGCAGTTGGCATTTTTAGTCTTCCTGACATTTTTAAGTGTCTGTGGTTCATTCAGATCAAGAAATGTCTAATTGCTTCCTGTACAAAGAGCTGTACAGACCTTGTAAAGGTGTGGTGGGTGTGCTAAATAGTGAAGGGCTAGAGGCAACATTGGCTATTGTGAGACGAAATATTTTAGACTACCATAATTTGCGCATGGGGAGGGAGAGCTGTCAAGACTCTTGGTTTTGTGAAAAAAGACAGTCTTGGGGGCCCCTTGGGCCTGCTTTGATCTAAACCAGTCCATGGTGTGTGTCTACATAAAAATGATGCTGAAGACTGGCAGCACAGATGTGTGAGTTGTTCCAACGTCAGAAAAGTTCGCATTTCTCACATAATATGAATTAAGTGGTCAAAGTTCTGGGAAGGATCATTTTCAAACAAAATGGCTACTTTTCTCACTGTATGCCATGTTCACGACTTTCACATCTTTGGTTCCTTTGCTCCCTTTGCTCCCTCTGTTTTTTGGAATGAAAAAATAAACCTATTGTTTGTGTGTATGTCTTCAAGTTATTTCTGACATGGCAACCCTAAGGCAGCCCTATCACTAGGTTTTTTGGCAAGTTTCTACAGAGCAGTTTGCCATTGCCATCCTCTGAGGCTGAGAGAGTGTGACTTGCCCTGGGTCACCCAGTGGGTTTCTATGGCTGAGCAGGGATTCAAACCCTGGTTTCCAGAGTTTCAGTCCAACTCTCAAACCACTACACCACACTGGCATAGCTTCTGTAGTAAACCTCATATTACTTGCATAGTGAACAGTGTAACTATTGCAGGCAGCATTGGATGGACTCTGGGACTTTTCTTTTCCCCAGTTGTTTGTGGCCATATGGTGACTGTCCTCTGTGCCAGTAGGGGAAAATCAGAGGCTTTGGTAAATTGCAGTTACCACTTAGTCATATGTTGCCTGCTGCTTTATAGCAACTGATAAATACTTAATTTAGGTGCAAAAGAAACTGTTTATAAAAGTGTTTATGAAAGTAACTGTTTATAAGTAACAGCACAGCTTTTAGCTTTTCTCTTCCCCGTATGTATCATCACAGCAGGGGGCAGGGTAGGCATGCAGTGTTACAGAAGGTAACGTTGGTGCCATGCACAGTTGTGTGGAGAAGGATGAGGGCAAGTAGGAACACCCTCTCTCCTGTTAATAGTATGGATGATGCTATTCTGTTTTGCTTTGTTTTTGAAAAATAAAACAGATGTAACCCTGGTTCACAGAAATTAAAAATAAACTAATCCATATAACAATTTAAACGGAAATAACTAAGTACTAACGGGCGAAACAGACCGGTAGTAAGAGCTGGCTTCCCGGTGGTCTGGAGGTGTGGCATTCAGACAGCAGCATGCCCCCAAGCTGCCGGGAAGCTGCACGGTTGACCATGTGTGTGGCGGCTTTGCGGCATTTTGGTAGCAGTGCGTTTACACATGTCACACCGCAAAAATGCTGAAAAGCTACTGCCTCAGCAGTAAAGGCAATTTTTTGCTGGCTCCAAAAGGAGTGGCTTTCTGTTGCTTCTTTTTGAGCCACCAAAGAGCTGGATTGGGGCTGTGGTCCCGATCTGGCACTCAAAGAGGTGGTGGGAAGCTGCTCCATGCAACGTTTTGTTTCGCCTCATAGCTTCTCTTGCCACCAGTGTGGTGTCTGCATTTATCACTGGTGGAAACATGTTACTGGGAGTCAGACCTCTGATTACAATCTGCATGTTAGTTTTTCCCCTCTGCTGAGAAATACTCAACTCACAGAGTAAGTTTACCAACAGTAACCTGCTTCTCTTATTTCACTTCTGTTTTTCAGTGTCTTGCAATCCCAATATGCTTCTAGTGTTCTTTGTTTTCTTCCTTATACGATAATGAGTTAATAGCCGTCCTATAATTCTTGGATTAGAAAGACTAAGAAAAAGAAAAAAGGGACAAACAGCAGATGTACTGTTCCAAAAGAAGTTATAAAATACTTTGCAGTGTGGAAAAGATAAAAGTCAGTGCTTCTTCTTTTGCTAGCTAAACTATAACTAAGGTATAAATAGAATTCAAAGATATAGCTGTGTTAGTCTGTAGAATAAGTATGTAGAGAGATGTTGTAGCACTTTTGAGACTAACTGAAAGAATTTGCAGCATGAGCTTTCACAAACTTCACTCTACTTCCTCAGATGCTTTAAAAAAGCATGGTTAAGACTGAAATCTATGAAAGCTCATGCAGCCAACTTCTTTCTTTCAGTTAGTCTTAAAGGTGCTACAAGATCTCTCTACATAAGGTATAAATATTACTACAGTGGTCCCTCCTATTTTGCGGGCGTGAAGCCAGGAGGGATAAAATGGCGCCTGCGCCCAGGACGCACATGCGGCAGGAGTGTACGGCAATTACAAACAATGGGGCTTGGATATTTGTGATATTTCTGATTCATGGGGGGAGGTGGGCCGGAAGGGATCCCCTGCGAATTGGAAGGGCTGACTGTAATATGTGTTTCTTTTACAGTGTTAGGGATGGTATACTTTTAAAGAAAGATTATCTTGACGTGGCAGTAATATGCCAGTCAGTTCTTCTCAAAATCTACTCCCATTTCTAGGTTCCTTTTTCCACTTCTGGAAGAATCGTATCTGGGCCATGAATGCATTTTACATAGTGTTTTGAATTTGTGGTAAACAAATTTAAATAGTGCCAATAGATGAAGAAAAGTAAGCTGTGTTCTACATTTTTGGCTGTTGTCCAAACAAGTCAGGGGTTTTCAGATGTACAGTGCATTGCCTTATTGGACCATGCATGTAAATTCTGTAATTGGAAGCATCCCTTTAGGGGCTTGACTTGCTAAGTGAGCTGTAAATTCTGCTTTCCAAATTGTATTTAATTAGGTCTGTTGTAAAGCCACAAGACAATACCTAAGCTTACTTTGTTAGAATATTTGTAATTGTTGATCTGTTAAACTGAATTGCTGCAGGTCATGCGATAGGATTAGTTGTGAAGCAGAAAGTAGTTTTGGTATGTGTGATCTCTGACAGGCAACAAGAAACAGAGGTGTGTAAAACTTCAAATGTATATTTTTAATTGCATACTTTGAGGCATATTGTTGGCTCCCTTTTTGTTGGTTTCTGGATGCATGATAAGAATTCTTGTGTTTTCAGCAGAAGACTGAAAAGTTCAAAATGCATAAATAGGTATTCATTCTTGTGTGTCAGTGGAGAAGTACGCCAATGACAGCTTGAATAATTTGAGAGTAACCAATGAAGCTAGTTCACTGTCATGCTACTTTCTATTTATACCCTTCTGTTTGTGCAGTTTGTGGGCCAACTCTTAGCTGTGGTCAAAAGAACTAGATTGGTTTAAGATCAGTATTGAAGGATATCAATTAACTATTTCCTTTATTTTATAGGCCATCTTTCCCCCAAGGAATTGCAATGAGTAATACATTGCACTATGTGAAGACTGTTTTGTCCCGGAGGGCCTGTATTATAAAACTAGGAAAAATGGAGAAAAAGAAACTCGAGTGAAATGGAAGAAAGATAAACATGAACCTAGTTCATCTACTTCCTGAAGGGGTTAAAGAAAACAGAGGAGTTCCACCATTCATATCATAATTAATAATTATCTGTGCAGTTTGGAGTAAATTCCAATGTACAAGAATTATAGAGTTGGAAGAGACCACAAGGGCCATCCAGTCCAACCGCCTGTCAAAGCACTCCCAAAAAGATGGCCATTCAGCCTTTGTTTTAAAATCTCCAGGGAAAGAGACTCTACCACACTCAGAGGCAGCGTGTCGAACAGCTGTTATTACCAGGAAGTTCTTCCTCATGTTTAGGTGGAATTTCTTTTCCTGTAGTTTGAATCCATTGCTCTGGGTCGTATTGTCTACAGCTGCAGCAAACAAGCTTGCTTCATCCTCAACATGACATCCCTTCAAATATTTAAACATGGCTATCATGTCACCTTCTCTTCTCTAGGCTAAACATTCCCAATCCCCCAAGCTGCTTCTCAAAGGACACTGTTTCCAGACCTTTGTGTGTAGTTATATGTGTGTGTGCCTTTAGGTCACCTGTTGACTTATGGCAACCCCTTGGGTTTTCTTAGGCAAGGGATACCCGAAGGTTTTTGCCCTGCTTAGCTGCCAAGATCAGACAGAATGTGGTGCCTTCAGGGCATTGCTTCCAAGCAAATCTGCAGTATATCCTTTCTCCTTCTGGTGCTTTAAGGCAGGAGTGGGGGAAAAGGCATCTCTCCCAATCCCACTTGATAACCCTATTTTTTTTTCCAGGCCAAAACACACACACAAAGAGAGGGGGGGGCAATAAAAGTCCATTTTTCTCTCTCGGGGCCCACCGGAAGTGGCAAATTTCTTTCTAACCCAACAAACTCAGAAATCATAATTGGAAATGGTGCCCATTTGAGATTTTTGGTTGTAAGAGGCAATGTGGCCAAAATCTGACATAGACTATTTTAAAAAGTATTTATTTATTTAAATTCTGTCCCACCTTTCTTCTAACATGGGGCCAAGATGTTAAATGATAGGTTAAAAGAAAGGGTAGCTAAAATTTTATGATCTAAATTTTATTTTAATGTAATGATTTTAATTTAAAATTTAAAATTAACTAAAAATTGTGATGAGCAAAAATTGTCCTTTGCTGCATTTACCAATCTGTGCCCCCTTTGGACAGGGATTTCCAGGCAGGCTCCTCAGCTTATTCCTCACAGTCTGGAGAAAATCACAGGTTCCTGAAGATTATCTCCTGGTTTCTAGACATTCTGAATTGTTTCTAGCCTTAAGCAACTTTATTCATTTATTTCATTTATATCATACCTTTCCCAAAGGTGGCTTACAATGTAAGTTAAAACCAAAACCAGCAACTGAAAGGTGGAAGGATAATGGCCTTTTTTAAAATTAAGCACCTCAAAAGCTATGTAGTATGCAACAATTCATTTGAATCATCTTACTCTCCTGGAAGGCTTCAGCTTTTAACTCGCACATATGTTCAGCAGCATGCTTACATCTTGAATACAGTGCCATAAAAGCCTGGAATAAACACTTGATAACCCCAGCTGTTAATTTTTTGCAGCTGTGCATCAAATATTGGTTCATCGAAGACATGCTGTTGGTTCCTCACAGTTGGAGGGGAGGGTCTTTATGTTCTGCTAGCTTGTATGTTAGGGGAGGTCTGTCTCTTAGCACAGCTTCTATCCTATCTTGTCATTGCCTATGTTGTTTAGGGATAGCTAAAATCCAGTGAAATGATTGCCTACCTCAGATCTAGAGATCATACACAGCAGGGAAGAAATGCTTGCTTGTCCGTTTCTTTCATCTCTCTCCCCCCCCCCCCGCCTTTAGAGGTTAGACCTTGCTGTAATGCTTGGGGTAGGAATAGCTTTTGTTAGGTAGCCTTCCAGATACCTTCATGTGTGAAGATTGGTTTTCTATAAAGCCATAGTGAGTAGTGGCTTAATGTTGGACTTAGCAGAAAAGGGCCTGGATTCAATTATTCCTGGAACATCAAGTTCACTGGGTGACCTTGGATAGTTTCAGCCTAACAGCTTGACCACATTTGGTTGCTGTAATGTAAACAAAATAATCCCTGTACATACTGCCTTGTGTATCAGGGAGATGAAATGTATGTGTGGGAAAAGATTGAAAATTTTATTTTCTGGGCCCTGTTAAACTGAACCTGGTAGGTGCAGGAGTGAGAAATGCTTTCATCCTTAAAATGCAGAGTTTTGGGGAAGCCTGATTCTTTCTTT